TGTGTGTGTGTGTGTGTGTGTGTGTGTGTGTGTGTCTTAATTCAACACTACTGAGACTGCTCAGCGCCTGCTTTCACACAGTGCCCTGGTCCATGCCAATCACCACACACAGAGATGGCTGTGCCTTTCAGTCCTGGGCTCCCCGCTCCTATTCTTATGCCCACTTCAATCTGCTCCACTCTGTCATCTCTCGGGGCTCTCACGTTAGCAATACGGTGACCATTCTCAAATGTGCCTCCCCCGCCTCTTCTTCACGGCCAGCGGCCAGCACGCTTCTCTCTCCCTCCTCTCAGGCTGCCTTGGACTTCTCACCTTGTGACCCACACTGGACCACTTGTCCTGCTACCTCTAGGGCCAAGTCACAGACATCAAAGCCAGCTGCAATGTCCCCCTGGCATGCTCCATGCCTCCGGCCACGTGGCTGTCAGAGGAGGCCCTTGAGCTCGTTATTGCTCACCACACTAGCTCAAAGGGACTGATGCTTTCCATGCTACTTGGCACCCAAGTCAAGTCCTCATCACAGCTGCTTGTGGACCCCTGCCCTTGTCCCCATCACTCCTGTCCAGTTTCTCTAACACACCAAGCATGCCTTGGGGCTTTGATCTGGCTTTATTTTCCTGACAGGGCTGTCTTTCCTTTAAGAATACACGGCTTCCCCCCTTTTGGCCTGGTCCTCTCACGTTTTTCTCCAGGTCATCCTTACAATTACTATCTCTGTCTCCAGCTCTCAGGGTCCATGGCTGTCGTCTCCCTTGGCCATGGACCCATGCTTTGAACGACAGGGGCACCCGTTTGCTGCTGTAGCACTGGGACCCCAACAGTGCTCACAAAGTGGTGCCTGCGACTGGATGAATCAACAAGCAGCCAACAGGACCCAGGACTCAACTAGGACATCGTGGCTTCCTAGTAACAGGAGGCTCCATCTGACTTGGCTCTACAGCCACCTGCTGGATTCCCTGTGAGCATCTCAGAAGCAAGCTGACTCCATGGCACTCCACCACCAAAGACGGATTGCTCTCCCCATCCTGCCCAGGAGATGGCCTAGAACAACACTCCTAGAAGCTGCTTAAGAATTCTTCTACTCACCAGCCCACCACCTCGTCAACATCTATGAAGACCTGAATTCTGACAAGCTCAGTGCTGATATTAACGCCTGAGAACTCAGGATGAACTCCAGGTACGGTGCCTTGCAACGCTTCAGTGACATCTCTGTGCTTTGATTCTTCATCCGGAGGGTGGGTACGACAATACTATTTAGCTGTGAGAATTCAATTAGTTATCCCATAATTACACAGTCTCACCACCGTGTGATTTTGAAAATGCTGCCTTACTTCAGTCAGCTTTTGCTGAGTAACAAATCATCCTCCAACGGTGTCATGAAATCTCAATTGTTTCTTTCATGATTCTGGAACATGGACACAGCTCAGGGAGAGTGGCCTGAGGAAGACTCAGGGTAGTGTCAGCTGGGCTAGAAGAGCCCCAGATGCCATGCACATAGCTGGCACAGCTCAAATGGGTGGGGCAGATGCTCGACCTCTCTCTATAACGGAGTCAGAGCACCAGGGGTGAACGGAGAGGCCGTCGAACCTGTGAAGGTCACTGGGCTCAGCGTCTCTTCTTGTGCTGATCAAATTACTGGCTCAGCCATTACTTAAGAGGAAGGAGATTCCCCATCTTGAGCAGAAACAGCAGAATGGGGACTGTCTTTAAAGGTAGCCATTATAACACCCATCAGTGGAACCTTTAAAAATATCTATCTAGGCCTGGGGAGATGGCTCAGTGGTTCTTCCTCAGGACCTGAGTTCAGTTCCTAGCACCCACAAAATGGTCCACAACCAACCCTAACTCCAGTTTTAGGCGACTGAATGCCCTCTTCTGACCTCTGTGGGCACCAGGCATGCTCATGGTGCAGACATACATACAGGCAAAATACTCACACACATAAAATAAATAAATCTAAACCAAACCAAACCAAAATCCCAACACAGCTAACCTTCCTCTCTGTCCCAGTGTTTAATTCTCCCACTACTCTCTGCAGTGGGGACGCTCGGTATGCTCCCTGTTCCAGCTCAGCCTCGAGGTGAAAATCACCACGTCCACACTCCTCTCTGAATAGAGCTGATGCTAACCCCATGGTCTGGAATCGCTTCCTTGGAGCCAGATTAGAAGTGTCTATCAAGTGTTCCTTCAATGCTCTTGATCCTGGTCACTTCTGTTGCTCATTGCTGTGCTATCTACCTGACTGAACCCCCACCTTAAGACTGAGTTCTTTACAGCAGGGATGCTATAGGGCTAGCCCTTCTTCTCTGCTGTGTCTCCACTTTGTGTACTGCAGAGGCAAAATACCTGTTGACTGTCTAGAGCTCTCGGAAATGAGCTCTCAGAGTTGTACGGAAGGGGGCGAGTAGAATCCCAGGAGGCTGGAATCCAGATCTACGCTCTGCAAGCGCTCATCTGATAGTGAGCCCTGCTACATGCCACATATCCTTCTGTGTGGGAGAGAAGCATAAAGTGACCCAAATGCTTGCTTCCAAGAAGTCCAAGGGCTCCCAGAACGGGAGGCAGGTGACAAGATAAATTCCAGCATGTGCCAGCGATATGACTGACATAAGGAAGATGTTGAAGGGAAAATGGACAGGGACATTAGCAGTATAATTCAGAAGAGTGGTCAATGGTCCAGGCAAAGAGAACACCAAGCACCAAGGCCCTGAGGCTAGTGTGCTGGAGGAGAGGCAGATGGTGAAGGCCCCGCAGGTCACAGGAAGGACTTGGGCTTTTACCCTGAGTGAGATGGAGTCCAGGAGGAGTCTCAGCAGGGAGGGACAATCAGGTGCTCAGAGTTTCTTTGGTTACATGGGGGGGAGGGAGATGGTGATGGCAGGAAGACCAAGGAGGATGCCACGTATTCAGCTGTTTGAACTATGAGAGCACCTTGGAGATACCCAAGGAGGGGTCAGGTCGTCAGTCAGTCAGCCTGGAGCATGATTCTCAACCGCAGATACAAATGACATCCCAACATCCCAGGCTCATTCCATATTCCTCACAGGGCCTACAGGATCTGGACCTGCTGATGTCTCCAGGCTCAAATACACTTTGTTAAATCAATGACTGGCACACACACACACACACACACACACACACACACACACACACACACACACACACACACACACCAACCTGAGCCTACTTCCTAGTCGTGTGATCCTAGGCAAGTAATTTAACTTCCATCTGCCTTCACTATCCCCAAACCTGGAGAGGTCACTGTAGTCCCTGGCTTCTAGAACTGTTCATTCAAAGTCTTCTTCCTGGGAGGCTGGGTTGTAGAACACTTTGCCTAACATCTGGGATTTCCTGGGTTCCATCCCCAGCACTACAAAAACACATAAAAAACCAAACCAAACCTGTCCACCCAGTCGTCTGGAAAGCTCACCTGTCCTTTCCTGGCCTTCTCAGCCCCGTCCCTGCCCTCCAACATCCTAGGGGGCCTGCCACAAGACGCCAGACTCGAGTCTTTTTCTGCAACCTGCTTCCATATTTTCAGAAAGACCAGACTATCCATCTTCCTCTCATTGTGCCTCACAATGAGAGGACTTCCAACAAGTCCAGCTCTCTAGATAACCAAAGATACCCGATAAACCCTAACCGGCATTCTCAAAATGATCGATCACCAGGACTTAGCTCACCGCGGCCCCGCCCCGCCCCGCCCAGGCCCTGCAAAGCGGGCTGACCACGCCCCTACTCCTCCCCGGCGTGTCATCCAATCGCCGCCCTTCCTACTGACCCGCCCACATCCGGGCCCTAATGCCCGACAGCTCATCGAACACCAGTCCCCAACCATGTGCGCAGAGACTTCTGGGCTTTGTAGTTCCCCAAGAAAAGTGAGCAAAGAGCCGGTCTTGTAGAACTCCATCTCCCAGGAGTCACCGCGCCTGCCCGTTGTAAGCGCTCTTAACAGTTTGAATCAGGTAGTTCTTGCAAGACTGGGTGGGAAGACAGCTGGTTCCAAATTGCCATGAAACAAAAATCACTTACCTGGAAGTCAGGGAGCGTCTTTTTGCCCGAGAATCTCAATATTCTGCAATGACTCCAGAATGGGACTGGATACAGGTGGGGTAAAATCTGTCCCCATAGCCTCTCTGGATAGTAACCAAGGAAGGCCTGTAGAGTATACCCAGAGCCTACTGGGTGCCTGCCCGACACAAAAAAGCCATTCCTGGGTGGACTCTATGGGAGCCCTGGCAGATGAGGGCAGAACATTACAATTTCCAGCAACAGGCCAGAAAGGGACCTTTTTACCCCGGAAAAGGCAGATGTGGGCTAGGATTCTTGTACCCAGGATGTGTCTATGGTTCTACAGCCCGCCAACCTCCTGCTGCCCCATGCCTGCACCAAGAAGGATGATGTCCCCAGGAGGGCCAATACCCACACCACAAAGCACCCTTCCCCACCATGCCTCTGAGGGTCAGGAGAGGGAGCCAAGGCCCTGCAAACGCTCAGGCAGGCATGTGAGAAAGCTCTTTACTGGGGGGTACAGCAAGGAGGAGCAAGGCCATCTCCCCCTACCTGCCCCCACCCCCTCCTAGGGTCCTGGGGTGAGGGGGAATCTCCCCCTCTACCGGACCACCACTGTCTTTGGTACAATAAATAGAAAACAAGGGAGGAGAGGGGGCCAAGGGTCCAGTCTTAGTGGGGAGGGCGTGGCCAAAACCCCTCTCCCTTGACCCCCTGCCCTGGGCCCCAATCAGTGCAGGCCTCACCCACCCCAGCTGGGTAGCAGCAAGTCCAGTCAAGGGGAGAGATGAGGATGGGAGCCTAGGGCCCCCAGATGGGGGGAGGGGGTATGGCTTCAGGAGGGGCCCCAGGGAGGGGGCAGGGTCATGAGCTGGCTGCTGTGCTCTGGGGTACACCGTGGAGGCTCAGGCGAGGCCCTAGAGTGGCAGGGTCATCCGGGGGTGGGAGAGGTGGTCGACCTCCCGTCATCCGAGTCCGGAGTGATGAGGCAGCCGGGTGCTGGGGGGCAGGTGCTGGATGAGGTGGGGAGCAGTCTGGAGGGCTGCCCACCAGGCTCACATCCATCAGCTCCGGGGGTGGTGGTGACGTTGGCGATGCGGGACGTCCAAGGCATCGGGGTTGAGGGAGTAACTGGGCCCCAGTCCCTGGCAATGTCGAGGCAGAGGTAGGGGCTTGATGTGTCTTGTGGGGCACATCACCCCCTGCCCAGGGGCGCAGAGGCTGGGAGGGTATAACCTTAAAAAAACAAAAAACCGAAGGATGTTAAGGTCCTGAAGTGTTAAGCGCCTGCCACCCACCTCCAAGGTTTCAAGCTCTAGTACCTGGGGGCTGTTCATCTCACAGTCGGTGATGGGGGGCCCAGGTCCCCCACAATATCGGTTGCTGTAGCGGTAGGCCCTGTTGTCACTGGAGGAGCCACTGGAGCCTCCTGGAAGCACCGGGAAGGAGAAAAGAGGGCAGTGGCGGTAAGATGCAGGCAGTCTGCTCAACATCTAGGCGCCATGCTGGGACTCTGAGGCCAGAGCTGGTTTGAAGGCTCTAACAGCCTGATTTTGAGATCTTGGGTCAGAGTTGTGTGGGAGGCTAGAGGCAGCTTTAGGGGCTGACTCTCAAGCCTGGATCACGTGGGACTGTCCCACCCCACCTCACCCTGCAGCTCAGAATCTGGTAGCTTAGCTCTAAGGCTCTAGGACAGAGGCCCAGCGGGAGGTATCCCAGGCTGGGCCCTGCGGCACACGTGACAGTGGGCACCCACCAGAGCTGGAGATGGAGCTGGCGGTGCTAGAGGAGGGGCAGGTGTCGAGGGGTGCGGGCGAGGTGGAGGCACTGCTGCCTGCCGGGCCCGTGTTGGTGGCCTCGT